CCCTCCACCCCACCCCACCCCAGCCATGTGCCCTCACAGACTGCTCTGCCCTTCGGGAACGTCTCCCCCCGGGGGGAGCCAAGGCTTTGCTTGCTCTCTACCCCCCCTTTTCCTCCTCATTTTTGGGGTTGTTTGGGGTTGTTTTTCTTTTCCTTTATCTCACCTGAAAATTCTCTGCGGAGACGGGGAGCAGAGAGGAAACCCCACCTGAGGAGTGTGGATGTTGAGGGGTGAACTGCTCTCCGTCCGTAAGGGTGTAGGTAAAAGGCATCGCTTTCCATTTCATCTTCTCATGAGTTGGCTTCATCCTTGTGACAAGATGCTGGTAGGGCTTGGAGGAGCAGGATGAGCTCGCCGGCGTCACGTGCCCACTGAACAAATATCAACTGGCGCTTCGATATTTATAAGAAGTCAAAATCCAGCTCGTGGTGCTTGAATCCCTGTACTGTAAAGCTGGTCTTTCCATTCAGGCTCTTTTCTCAAGTGGTTGAGAAGTGGGCACCGTGAAGGAGCTTCCACCAGCCCTGCTGGCCCCAGTGGCCCGTAGCGAGCAAGCAGGTGTCCCTGTTGAAAAGCCGTCACCCAGCTGTCATTAGCAGCCCTCACTGGGTCATCCTTCCCTGTGACAGGTTTTCCTCCCCGATGGGTGAAAGCACAAACACTGGTGGCATCATGTCTTGGGGCATTGGTGCCCCGTTGCTGGTTCATTTTTGGGGTACCCTAAGGGAGCTGGGCTCTGGTGTGCCCTTTCTGCTGACCCCACCAGAAGCTGGGCTCCTGGGGATGCTCTGAAGTTCCCAAAGTGTCCCTTGGAGAGCTCAGATGGCCTCGGGACTGGTGGGAGGGTGGCTCTGTGGCAGCTCGGGATGGAGGAGTGGGACATCGCCGTTCCTCGGCAGAATCAGCCCAGATTAGTGCCTTAACAATTCGAATAAACCCCCGACTGTTGGGTGAGCTCCAGGTTGGGTCCCATTGCAAGGTTTAGAGCTAAAGTGAGTCCACCTTCAGCCTGATGACAATGTCCCATCCTTGAGCTTCTTCCCTGTGTCACTGTCCCCTGGGGTTGGCAGCCCTTGCCCAGTCCTGGCTTTGAGGGACCAGAGGGTACCAGTGAGAGCTGTGGTTGGTTTGGTGGTGCCCTGTGGTGTTGGTTAGTGCTTCTCTGACCATGTTGTGCTTGTTGAAGTTGAGCTGGTCTTTGGCTTCATTTATTCATCCTGGCTTTGTGCTGGCAGAGGAGGAGGAGAAGAAGAAGGCTTTGCTGTTACTTTTTTGTTGGACTCTGGGGTCCAAGCTGCATCTCTCACTGCTGTGCTCTGCTCTGGAGTGTTGTGCATTGGCCTGACCATGGCTGTGTGGTCTCCCTGCCTAGAGAAGTGTCCCTTTTGAGGTTGAGGAGAGCTGGGAACGCTGCAGGGGCTGCATTATGGATGCTTCTGCATCAGCAAGAACATTCATCATGGGCAGAGAGGTCACAACCAAGAAGTGGGGTGCGTTGCAGCTGATGCTCCCAAGGTCAGCGCTGTGGATGCATGTGGACCTGGGTCAGGTCATGGATGAGGTGGTGAGCAGGGCTGTTGGTAGATGAAAAGGAGGAGGAGGTTGAACATGCTGCAGGAGCCCAATTTGCACCTCAGTCTGGGCGATAGCGGGGTGCTGAGGACAGTGAGCCACATCTGGCTTTGCAAGAAGTCTTGGTGCTTCATCTCCTGGACCAAAGCAAAGCACTTGGGCAGCGTTGAGGTTGTCCTTGCAGAGCTGGGAGGAATCAGCCACATGCTCAGGAGCTTTGCTGACCAGGGATATGCAGAAGCATTAACCTGATGGGGACTGGACGGAGGAGCACGTGCTCTTCTCCTGAGTGCTGTTGGAGGTGATGGGTTAGGTGACCGATGTCCCCTCCTGCTGAGTGGTGCCCCTCATGCCTGATGTCTCATTGCTCTTGTGGATGTTAGCATGTTGGAGCAACAAATGGCTTTTCATCCTTGTGTTGGCTGGGATCCTGTGGACACCCAGCACCACAACCAGTACCAGTGAGCTCACCCTCATCTCCATCTGCTTTGAGCAAAGAGAGGATGCTATGGCAGAGCTGCCTTGACATATCGACCTTGTCAGATAGGTACCAAAGGCTTCTCTGCTCTCCTTCCTCCATGACCCTGGAGATGATTGGGATGATGCAAAGCCTTCTCAGACACACACCTGTGAAGGATGTGGGTACTCAGCTCTTGGGGACATTGGCTTTCTGAAGGGACCATGACCCAGAATGGAAGGTGATCACTTTAGAGAAGCCTTCAGTGATACCCTTGGAGGTGTTAGAGGGCCTCAGTAGAGTGGTCCATGCTGTCTCCTCCTCTGCTGCCTCCCAGACCCCATCCCCTCAGCCTCCCTTGCATTTCTTCCTCCTCACACAGCCTTGACATGGGATGGGAGTACTGCACCCCGAGGAGGACTCCTTACCTGTAGGATCCTCTGTGATGGAGCCTATCAGCCTGTCTGGCTGGTAGACTTCTACCCCTAAGCAAACCCCCATGCCAACATGTGCTCCCTGGTATCTGGAGGTGGCTTTCCCTGTCCCAGTTCATCTTCTGTTGAGGACCTGTCCCACTTGGATGTCACTGCGAGATGAGAGCTCCTCGTTGTGTCTAGAAGCCCAGCAGGAAGCCCAGCGACTGATCCCAGCCGCATCTGATCCCCTTTGAGAGCCTACCTGGAGAGCCACTTGGAGACGTTGAGATGTGACCATGCACACAGCACTTTGGAGAACCAGATCCCTGCTGCTCCTTCCCCTCTCCAAAGCCTGGGCACTTCCCAGGAGTCCTACATGGCCTCCCAACCCTTTTGTCTACACCCTTATTTGGCCCTAATGTCTCTTCATGTCTGGTTTTCATTAACTTACTAAGAGCTCCAATGAGTTGCTCCTGCAGCCTTGTCCTGCATCCATCCTGTTGACACCCCGTTGGGTTAGATGGAGCAGGAAACAAGAAAGTTTGGTCCGTTGTTTTCAAGCTTTTTATATTTTATTTTATTTTATTATTTTATTATTATATGTTTTTTTTAAATAATATTGTTTTGTTTAACTCTTGCACCTTAATCTCTCACGTCCCTTCTTCGACAGACCACGAGGGTGGAGAGGGGGCTCCATTTCCATCACTCAGTTCATCAATACGCCGCGACGCAACGTTCGAGTGGAACGACTCTGCCCACGCACCAAACCCCAGACCTCTCCACCTTTCAAATTTGATTTGTGTTTTCTCCCCACCTCTCCTTCATTTAAACTCTGGGGAGGGAGGGAGTGATGTGGGGAAGGGTTATTTTTTGATTTCTAGATATCCCAGGAGCCTGGTAGCACAGACCAGTTAGCCTCATAAATGTCCATGAGGCATGGCTGGGCCCTTTGGACCGCAGCCATAACCCAAAACGTGGTGGGAAGGTGATGGATTGATGGACGGCCGGTGGGTGGGAACGGCTGTGACAGTGCAATAGAGATGAGCATCCGCTGCTAGACAACTCCACTGATTAAACTCTTGGTTTGCCTGAAGTCGAGAGGGAAGGACAGATGGACAAGACACC